ACCGAATTCAAGCATCACTGGCTGCGGTCAGTGTGCGGGTAGGTGACCACTTGGATCAGTCTGCGTAGGGACCGAGGGTGTGCGGTATTGGTCCTCGTTAAACTGCTCTACCGCAAAGTGCTCGACTTCGCGTGCAGGTCATCAGGGTACCGAAGCAGGGGTGCCATCCCCTCTGCAGAGGAGAGAAATTGTGATGGCATGTCCTCGGATCATCCTTAGGGATGTTTCCCAGACCCTCGCCAATAGCCCATTGTGCAGCTCTAGTGCGACGTAAATGAACCACAACAACTATAACGAATTCGATATGCGATACGGAGTCGTATTGAATTAACTTCATATAATTAACATTCTAACTTAAATGGAGAAACTTAGCTCGACCTTAGCCAGCAATACCCAGAAAAATAAACAATCAGCTGGTGATGAGGTCATAGGTGTCTGCCATAGTGGTTAGCAATAGCTCAGGTTAGCAGGCTTCAGGTTAGCAATAGCAATACGCATTTTAAAAAATTATTTCTCATTTCAAACGAATCAAAACATACACACAAAGTCATTTGACAGATTGTATTTAAATTCACAAATAAAAATTTTGAAATAATTACTAGATTTCTCCGAATTTAATTACAATAAGGTATTTCTGAAAATGGTAAATTACACGTTTAATCAAACTGAAATGAAATCGATATGGAAACATACAAAAAACAAACGTTATTCGATCCAATCCTTCATAAACTGCAGCAATCGTGTCGAGTTCATCATTTTTGATGACATTCAGACAAGGAGAATGTGCACAGGTAAAATTGTGACCAAATTCTCAGAAGGGGAAATTTATCATTGGCCTCGACTTCATCACAGTAACTTAGCACCTCTTTTAGACGTGATTTATATTGACGAAAGACTTGGTGTATGTATGACGACTCATTTGACATATACGCTCAGGGACATAATTCATATCGACAGCTTCATTAACGATTCACTGATTTTTGACAGAAAGAAAGCTTATATTGAAGATATACTATTGGGAGTGGATTACATACATTCCAAAAACCTGAGCCTTATGAACGTGAGCGATGCAAACGTGCTTGTTTGTCCAGAATCAGATACAGCTGTCATCGCCAATTTTACTTGTCTGGTAACGGTTTATAACGCAACAAAACATAAGAAATGCGCACCATACATGTACAGAGCCCCAGAATTATCATTAATTACTCCGTTTGAAAAAAAGAAGGATTTTAATCCCATTTTTTCTGACTTATGGTCCTTAGGAGTTATGATCATGGAAATTTTTTTGAGTCATGCAACTCCGTGGGGATTAGTTGACTACGATCCAAGTCGTGCTCTAGAGGTAGCGGCTAATATTGAATGGGACATGTTAAAATTCGCCAATAAAGGATCGTCCATAAGCAATCAAGACGTAGACGGTTTTAAAAAGTTTCTAGGTCTGTTTTTAGATAAAAATCCAAAAAATAGATGCCCAGCGTATAAAGCGGTCTCAAAAAATTTTATACAAAATGGAAAATATCGATTAAATCTAAAAGACACAAATTTTACACCCCAATCTAAGGCTAAAGTTGTGGTCTCAGACCATACAGACTTTAGCTCTCATAATTCTGAAGAGTGTCCAGCAACGAAATTCAATAAAGAAAGTATGCCAAGCTTAGATTGTGAAGTAACGAGCTTAAACCATCAATATCCAAATAATGTTCGCTGGAATTTAAAAGAATCTCCCACGATAAAAACAAAACTCAAGAATGTTCAAAAAATGAACTTAACTATAGGTTCTGAGCTGTCAAATGTGACGATCGGTGATAAATCTTACAGTAAAGCTAACTCAGTATCACCACATATTACTACTGCCATGATGAAAAGTCAAAATGAAGTATTGAGTGGAAACCAGGAACTTCAATCTGGATATCATCCTAATAAGCTTGACAAAAGGAATTCTTTAATGACATTAAGTGATGATCTTAAAACAAAATCAAATAGCAGCTGTAAAAACAACATTTATGTCCCCAGAAGATTTTCAGAGTCTGGAACTAAGGCAACTTCGACTCAGCAATTACCAATTAGGAATTTCATTCTGCATCGAGCAAGCGCTCCAGCTCTACGCAATTCGATTGAATGCGATTTGCAGCACGATACAAAACAAACACAGAAATATAGCACTCTAAGCTTACTAAGGGAAGATGGTTACACACTTGGCTCAAAAAGGACAGACAATTCCAAATACATGATTATGTATTGCGATAAGCAAGATGTTCTGTTAGCTGATGAAGACATTCCAATAGAAACGGAAAATTTAAAAGGGAGCACCCATGATTACAAACTGATGTTAAATCATCCAATTACAGATCAAGTTAAGAAACCAAGTACCAAAATCAAAACTGCAATAGTTGATTTTGAAGCAAACAACGCCTGCAACATCGATGCATGGTCAGAAGAAAAGAAAATATCGAAATCTCACAAAAACAGAAATCAATCAAAAAGTTCATATAAAGAAACTAGTAGACATATTTTGCCAGAGTATGAATATGACACATCTTTTAAGAATCAAAAGTGTTCAGTAAAAAATCAAGGTTCGGTTGATATGGAACAAAACGAAATATCACTTAGTTCAAATGATCATCATTCGTCGTTAGATTTTAACTTCGTTCTTCCAGAGCCTGTTCCACAACCTCGTAAAATAAATGTAATAAGACACAGGCGGGGCTGTTCGCATCGTAGCCAGAAAGGAAATAAAAATGGAAGAATTGAAACTCAATCTCGGAACACAGCAAATGTTGCACAAAATGTTCTTAGCACCAAACAGAAATGCGAAGTTTCTAAATTATTATTAAAAGCTGGTGGTAAAATTAGTAATATGGATATGCAGCAGCGCCAACAATTCAATGATGAAGAGTTTGCTAAGGATAGAGCTATAGGGAAAAAAGGAAAAGTTAAAAATTGTTTCTGTTTTTTGTGAAAATGAATACCAGGTTGAATTATACAGTTCCAATAACAATAAATTTATGCCCTAAGTTTTCTTCCTTTTAATAACAATGATTTTAAGACATAATAAGGTTATCGAAATCTCTACAATACAGTCATAATTTAGTTCGAAATTATTATTGAATTATAAAAAATGTTATATTTAGTCTTTAAAAAAAATTAGTTCCTATGAGCGATTTATTTGCAAATTAAAATATGTGGCATTCACATCGTTATTGATGAAGATGATGTTATAAGACGAGATGAAATAAAGGATATGCAAATTTGCAACTAAAATTTTGTCTTTGTTATTTTTCTATTTTAGTCCCCCAGGAGTGGCTTGTTTGCATGCTAAAACAATGGTATTCAAATCCTTATTGATGATGTTTAAAAAAAGACACAAATTTGCAACGTAAGTTCTATCTTTTTTTTTAAAAATTTAAGACCTCTAGGGTGGCTTATTTTCCAGTTAAAGCATGCGAAAAAAAAGCTTATTTATTTTGTTTAGAACTAAAGCATTTCTCAGGACATATATAATATTCAGCGAAAATGGTAGCGTACTCTATTTTTAAGATATCTTTAATATTTTAAGGTATCATTTTAAATTTTACTTTCAATTCAGGGTGTTTGCATTCACCACAATTAATACATATTTTTAAAATATTTGTCAAAAATAAAGTAAAAAAAAGTATGCTCATTAGGGATTCCAAATTGATATTAGAAAAAAATTTAAAATGCTATTGAAATCAAACGAATCATTTCTGTAGAAGACAGGACTAAAAACAACCAACCATGTTTGATTGCTAAAGAAAATAGAGACGAATTCTAAAACGTTTATTAGAAAGACCTTCGCATTTTTATCAAACTGGGATTGAAACTCTTCTTCCTTCCTTCATCACTAGAAATTCACTAAGATACCAATACTTTCTTTGCTTTTCCCTTGCTTATATATTAATTTTCGACTAATTGATTTGATTTACTTAATCTTTGACAAAAATTTTAAAATAATGTATATTAAGGGTAGTGATTACGAAACATTATATGCAAACCAAAATATGTTTTTTGTAATTTTAAATCAGCTATGCACAACCAAATTTGGATAATGTGTCGTTAAAACTAGAAAATGCCTTGTAGAGAGCCCAACATTAGCATTATGCAGTAGTAACAATCTGACGATCCGTTTTTTAGCTCTATGCTTCATAAATGCGGTTGTAGCTTTCATGGATTGAAAGAAATGAAACTGGAGACAGAGTCATTTAGAAGCTCTTATTGGATAGCAAAAAGGACTTTAGATGATATGATTCTTTAGTGTCCATAAGCCAGGAGAAAGCCCCAGGGAAGAGATGTTTTTGGAGAATATACCTTGAAAATTCATGCATCAGAGATTGGAGTATAATGTGATCGATAGTTTCGGTTTCCCTACATCTGCATTTATTGGTTTATGACTGACCAAACCTAAACAGCTGGCAATATGATCTAGTCCTGACACTAGAGAAAATGACATCTTTGTATCTCCAAGAAAAGGTTAGGCAGCGATAATCGGTAACCATATTATGAAAATCTGAAATATGTTTGCTGTTAGGAAATTTTACTTGATGACTGCGCAGAGAGTGGCATTTGAAGATTATTTGATTTGCAGTCAGCATTAGGAACTTGAATGAATAACAAATGTATAACTATATATTTTTTTTACTTGAAGGTAGATAATAAAAATAAATAAATTTAATCTCTAAAAATAAATTAAATCAAAACAGATAAAATTACAAGACTACAAAGTCAATTTAAGTTGTAATACAAAAATGGATAACTAATTAAATTTTGATTTAAATCAGTGATTTTTTTTAAACCCAAATGCTTTGTATCACGATCATCTTAATCGCAATTAAAATCCATTTGATTTCAATCAGCGAACCCTGGCTTAGTATCTAATTAACATTAAATAAATGTGTATGATGTTTTAGCTCACGTTATAACACCCATTTTCATTAGAACAGATTTCGTTACATCAAGTATAATGATACAAATGACTACATTACTTTATTCTAAAGCATCTTTATTACATAAGTGTTCTTTTTTTCCCCCAAACTTTTAGCAATAACATAGATTTGTATTGATTCTAAAACCATATGTTCTTTCTAGGACGCGTGTATTTAAAGTTATTTCTGACTTGGTATGGCTCATAAGGATCGTCAATGTAGTACTTNAGTAGAAAATACAGATAGAACAATTCAGAGAAAGACATCACAAAGAATACATCCAGGGTTACGGCGGGATTCGAACCCGCTACCTCCACGCTTAACAGAGCGTTTGGACCGGCGATACCGCTCGGCCAGGGAGGGCCCTTAGCATTATGTAGTAGTAATAATCCGTTTTTGAGCTCTATACTTCATAAATGCGCTTGTAGCTTTCATAGATTGAGAGAAATGAAACTGGAGACAGAGTCATTTAGAAGCTGTTGTTGGATAGAAAGGACTTTAGGTGATATGCTTCTTTAGCGTCAGTTGTGTCCATAAGGCAGGAGAAAGCTCTAGGGTCGAGATGTTTTCGGAGAATATATCTTGAAAACTCATGCATCAGAGATTGGAGTATAATGTGATCGATAGTTTCGGTTTCACCACATCTGCATTTGTTGGTTTATGACTGACCAAACCTAAACAACTGGCAAGGGTTAGATATGATCTAGTCCAAACACTAGAGAAAATGACATCTTTGTATCTCAAGGAAAATGTTAGGCGGCGATAATCGGTAACTCATATTTTGAAAATCTGAAATATGTTTGCTGTTCGAAAATTCTATTTGATAACTGTGCAGAGAGTGAGATTTCAAGATTATTTGATTTGCAGTCAGCATTAAGAACTTGAATGAATAAAAAATGTATAGCTATTTTTTTGTTTTACTTGAAGGTAGATAATAAAAATAAATAAATAAATTTAATCTCTATAAATCAAAACAAATAAAATTACAAGACTACAAAGCCAATTTAAGTTGTAATATATTTCATACAAAAATCGGTAACTAATTACAATTTGATTTAAACCAGTGATTTTTTTTAAACCCAAATGCTTTATATCACGATTATCTTAGTCGCAATTAAAATCCAGTTGATTTCAATCAGCGAGCCCTGGCTTAGTATCTACTTAACATTAAATAAATGTGTATGATGTTTTAGCTCATATTATAACAGCTATTTTCAATAGAACAGATTTCGTTACATCAAGTATAATGAAACAAATGACTACATTACTTTATTCTAAAGCATCTTTATTACATAAGTGTTCTTTTTTTTCCCCAAACTTTTAGCAATAGCATAGATTTGTATTGATTCTAAAACCATATGTTCTTTCTAGGACGCGTGTATTTAAAGTTATTTCTGACTTGGTATGGCTCATAAGGATCGTCAATGTAGTACTTCTTTTTCTTCCAATAAGGTGTCACCATTTTATCAAACATTATGCACTGTGTTCGTGTGCAGACTACATGCTGTTCGAGACGAAACCTGTCTTTCTCAGACCTCTTATGCAAGCGCTTATGGCACCCCGCACGACGCCGAATCCAAAGACCTGTATCTAGTCTATAAAATCGTGTCAACATTGACTTCACAGATCGTCTTCCACCACTCTTCAAGTTGAATTTTGTGACATTCCTTGATATGTCTACTTGGGGTAGAGTGGCAGGCAAAAGATACCTGGAAAACAAAAACAACCCAGATCAAATTAATAAGTTCTTTATTCCCACATAAAAACGTGGATATAAAAAGACTAAATAACATATAAGGTTATTCAAAAAGATGGACCTAAATTAATTAATTTATATTTAATGAGGTATTAACTTGGACAAGAGAAATCAACATACCAATAAAAAAAAGGAAATTTCAAAAAACAAATAAACACAGGTCATAAATCTTTAATGTATCCGTCACTTCTCTTATAGGGCACTTCTATTCTTAGTAGTAACTAACATAAATATGAAATAACTGTATTACGCAGTGCCACTTCCCAAAGTATTCTGACAGTTTCATAAGATCTAGTACCATCATGATAGCAAGAGCGTAAAAAACTAAAGTACATAATTAGTGCTAAAAAAAGAAGAGAAAAAATAAGGGGGAAATTAAAAAGAAAACTCTAGAACTTCAACCCCTTACGAAAATTTAAGGTATTTTTGAGGTGTTGAGGTAATTTTGAGGTATATATTAGGTATATTTGAGGTTGGTAAGAAAACAGTCATAAAAACTATACCTCATAAAGGTTGTAACTGAGGTGTACGAGGTTGTATTACATACACTTCAGCTCATTTTGAGGTTGTTTAAAATTCACTTCAAATCAACCAATCTGATGAGGTGATTTTCAAGTTATACAGATTGTTTTTCTGATACTTATAACAAAAAAAAGTATTTATGAGGTATACAAAATTTTACCTCATTTCAACTAAGGAGAGTGAGGTATTTATATAGATGTATGTAGTCATTTTATTGATATCTAAGCTCATTTTGAGGTCGTTTTAAATTAACTTCATATCAACTAGCTCACTTCCCAGAGTTCCGTGCGAGCCGAAGAATGGCGAGTGAGTTGACAATTGAAAGTCTAAGCGAAATTTGGTAAGTGTGTTTAAAATTTATTGATTTCGTTTTATCACTTTTAATCAAATATGCTTCAATTTTCATGATCTTATCTTTCATCCTGATCTTTAATTAAAGTCGGAGGATATTCTTAAAGGCTATTGTTGTAGGCTTAGCAATAAGAGAGAAAAATCAGAATATTTCTCGTAGCTGTTTATGATAGCACTACTGGTAATCCTTACAACATGTTACGTTTCGGCTGAGCCGAGGTGGCTCAGGGGATAGAGTATTCGCTTTCCAGTGAGGTGAGCCGGGTTCGAATCCCAGTGATGTCTAGCCGATACGAATTTTGCATCAGGCTCGCACCAACCACAGTGCTGACGTAAAATATCCTTAATGGTAGACAGACCATGGGTTAGATTACCCTTGCTTGTCACCTAACCATGGGAGGTTTTCGTGGTTTACCTCTTCATGTAACGCAAATGCTGGTTAGTTCCATCAAAAGGTCCTCCATGAAGGCAAATTTTTCCCAATACTTGTTCCAAGAGTTCCCTTGTCTTCTAGATTGGGTTAAAAATTACAAGGCTACGGAGTTGAACATTAGTAGTTGTAAACCCAAAATTGGATCAATTATATTTTAATGTACGACTATATTTTTTTAATGCAACTTTTGTGCTTAAATAAAAATTCAATTACATATGGGCATTGGTGTAATTTATGCAGACAAGTTGATTAAAATCTTGCAAGAATAAACTGCAAATATTTTAAAATTATGGAGAATTTCAAATTTTTACTTATAATTTATTTAATTTGAACTATTTTCTCTACAGAATTATTTTAAATATTTAAAAAAAGAATTATTAGCAAATAATAGTAAGTCTACGGTCAAGAAATTAACTATAACTTGAAAGTTGATAATATTTGAAGCATGTTTTAGAAGCATACAGGGTGAGTTCTGAAAGTAATGCGCATTTTCTGGGAAAAATAGATTTATTGATCCTATGGGTACAAATGGTTCAAATTCTTCAAAATAGTTCCCTTGTGCATCAATACACTTGCGGAGACGATTCTGCCACGTCTGAAAGGCACCCTGGAACTCCTCGACAGGAATGCCTCTTAGGAACCTTGCAACATGAGCTTGGAAGTTCTCCGCCGACTCCCAGTGCTTTCCTTTCAGCTCTCTTTTCAGTCGGGGGAGCAAAAAAAAGTAACACGGCGCCAAGTCAGGGCTATAGGGAAGCTGGGGCACCAACTCATCAATTCCAGCAATTCTTCACTGCGCAAAACTCGAACTTCTTTTTGCTCCTCCGTCAACACCTTTGGCACAAGCCTTTCGCATTTGCAAAAACTCCGTCACAATCCCATGCACCACACATTTTGACAAGTTTAGGGTGTTAACGATTACCTGAATGCTTAAATGACTGTCTGACTTCAAAACTTCACGCACATGCTGGACGTTTTCATCGGGTCGGACTACTGTTGGGCTTCCAGAACAAGGCTCGTCTGTGACCTTCTCCCGACCCTCCTTGGAGGCCTTGTGCCACCATCTACACTGAGATCTCGAAATGCATTCCTCCTTAAAGTTGTCTCGAAGCATGTGATGAGTTTCCGTCGCATTCTTCCCAAGTCGCACACAAAACTTTATCGCGTACCACTGTTCCAGCGAACGAACACTCCATCACGACGTGACTCGATCGAAAAAAATACTTTGCGCGAAGACATTTCCTACCGCTCCTACTGCTTGGAGAGACCTGAGACCAGGCTTGTTTGGAAGGACAAATCCCCCACCACATATTTTGACCAATCTGAGTGCGCTGTGATCATTAGTCGCGTCACAATAAAATCATGTGCATTACTTTTAGAACGCACCTTGTAACACGAGGCTTGACATCAAGAGTCATAAAACGAACGAAAACCTGACTTTTCACATCTGATTCTCATAGCCTGCTTCCAGGTAAGCACTGCCAGGCAAAAACAATTTAAAGTCAGGGTGGAATTTATGCATGTCATAATTTCTCTTAGCATCACGTGGTTATTTTTCATAAATATCAAGTTATTGTTTTACATATTCTAATATTTTACTAACACATGGTTTTGTTGCATTTTCAATAAGTAGTATATGCTTTCTTAAAAATAATATTTTGCATTGTTTTTTTCTCCATCATGTCAAATTGTAAGAGAAGAAAATTAAATGAAGAAAACAGAACATTTAACGTATAGTGGGATATAAATTATTTTTTTATTTCTATGAAAGAAAAAAATTTGTGTTTATTGAGCAATATAGTTTCGACAACTTTGAAAAACGTCATGTCAATAAACACTATTTGACTCATAAAGAACATAAATATTTCAATTTAGAAGTTGAATGTTGACAAGCTGTACTTCGAAAATTGAAAAATGAAAAGCATCATTCACAGGCATTTTTCAAAGACTTTGTTAAGGAAAATACCACTGCAGTTGATGTTACTTACAAAATAGCACACATACTTAAAAGAAAAGCAGACTATTCAGTGACATGTATCGTAGAATCAGTAGACAAGTTATATCCAGAAAAAGTTAATTATAACAATCAATTGCAAGCAATTGCTATATTAGAGCAACTTCGTACACTTCTACAAAATTAAGATGATTATTTTCAAATCAGGGTTGGGTTTTTAGACGTCCTAAACTGGTTTTGGACAGGACACATGGGTTTTACTGTCTTAAACTGTCCTAAACTGGGTAAAACTGTCTTAAAGTGTCCAAAACCTTGAACTTTGGTAAAAGGTAAAAATTCTATAGGTGTAACCATTGTACACATAATAATTACATGTATCAATAAATATTTGATATTTTTTATACAATTTACTATAACTTATTAAAAGAAAATAATATAATATAATAGGAAAAGGTTTATAATTTTTGAAGCTCCACAATTCATTGAACAACAAAAGTGAATACCTAATCCTTTAAATATAAATATGCTTTTAATACTGATAAATAATATTTTTGCATAAGGATAAATATGGCAATATTAAAAAATAATAAATTTTTTTAAAAAAAATACTAAATTTGTTTAAAAATTAATTTTTTATTTTTCACAAAATTTTTTTTTTAAAAAATGTTATAATTTCTGCATCACAGATTGATAAAAAAAAGACATCTTTTTTAAAAAAAATTGTTTTTAAATATAAATATATTAGTTTAAATTGAAAATACAAAATAACTGAAAAATGTATTAACAGTTTTGAAGGGCATAACATCAGTTTCAGTTACTGACACTGGTGATGTATCACCACTATGCTAAAAGAATTGAACATGAATGAAATAAAAGTATTCTTGAATAGTACTATAGATAAATAAACCTGTTTATGACGAACCAAGCACTTAGTCCCTAATATTTTAACCTGTATGGCAAGGCCAAACTTCAGTTATGTACTATTGAATGAGAGGACCAATTGAACTTGATTCCTGATTAATCTCCCTTTGTTTAAATTGAAGAGTCAAACAATATTAATAAAACATTATACCTTTAAAACAAATATTCTCTAGTATATTTAATTATCAATATGCTATTAGTTCGTTTATTTTACCTCTTAAATATTGTTCAGATAAAATTGTGACATAATTTGAGTAAAAGAGTTTTGGACAAAGGGGTTTTGGACAGGACGGTTTAAACCAGGGTTTAAACCGTGGATTAATCCATTCTGTCCTAAACCTTGCCAACCCTGTTTCAAATGCTTAAAATGAAAGCAGCGTGAGTTTTATATTTTATTTGCACTGTAACTAGAGATTTTCAGTGTTAAGAAGATCTTCTTGTGGTGAATACACTAGCTGGAAAAACTCACCCAATTGACATTTTTAAAAACTTTAGAGAAATGTGCCATTGATTGTAATTAAATGCTAGTAATTTAATCAATGTCTGCACCAATGGCACAACTTCAATGAGAGGTAAAAACACAAGATTTGCTGCTTTATTAAAATAGGAAAACTTGAAAAAATTTATATAATTTTACTGCACTTTGCTTCAACAAAATAATTGTGCAAAAAAATTTTTTTGCAAAACTTTATGGAATCATTTCAAACACAACTAGATTCATTTAAATGCAATGCATCAACATGAATTTCAGCAAATGCTAAATTTAGACAAGAAAAAAAAACAGTGTTGATCTACAGTACTATTGCAAGGTTTGCTGGTGTGAGCCGTCAGATAACGCATTTTATAGAAACCTTGCATTTATGTCTGATATTACGACAAAACAAAATAATTTACATATTTGCCTGCAAAGTAAAACAAAGCATATATATGAAATGTGGAAAAATATCAAACTGTTTCAGAAAATTATCATTTTTCAAAACATTGTTCTCTTGCTTGGATATCTGCAAAACACTTCCCGAAGCTAGCAAAAATTTTGAGTGAGAAAAAAATGTAAAAATTAAACATTTGATGAATATGTTGTGTGATGAATTAATTGAAAAAATGTCGATAGAATTTTTTTACGAAAAGTGCTGGAATCTGATAGTTTCAAAAACGATCTTAATGCATATTATTAACATCATACGAATAGCATTTGTGATGGGGTCGTTAAAACAATACAATACATACGGGAAAACATGTGGAAACGATAGATTGAGGTTCGACTGTATATGTAGTTTATTAAAAAAATTTAATAAATTAATTTTATTATAAGTTATTAACCTTATTTGAATAAAAAAGATTTCATATTCTAAATGTTTATTTTAATAAATTACTTAATGTTTTTCTGCATGATTTCTATATAATGTGATAAAGTAATGAAACTATGGAAAAATTATAACAATTTTTAAAAATAAAAAAAAAACTCATTTATAGGTATAACAACTTATACAGCTTTCTTTATCACGCCCTAATTTAAATGTGGTCTCCCATGGTAAAAATTTTCCCCATCTCATCTTAATATAGTTATTTTTTTTAATTGAGTTCTAATCCATTGTAAGAATATAAATCAAGTTAATAAATCAAGCATGAAAAACAAATTTCTTATAGCATTTAATTCAGTTCCTTCATTAATTAATTTTATGATAAATTTATCTATATTGTTGATATTTATTAAAATTAAATATATTTCTATAACTAAAATGATTTATTATTTCAAATTTAAATACAATTCGTTGAAATAAAAAAAAATATTTGATTATTTTCCTCCTTACATCAATTTGTAACATAAATCAGTTAGATTATGTTAAATGCAAAAGCCTAAACAAATCTTTTATGCTAATTCAGTTTGTCAATATTTGATTTGTTAAAATTATTTATATTTATATTTCTAAAATGTATTCATCATTTTCAGATTAAATACAATTAGGAGAAATATATATAAGGAAAAAATATTTTTAAAAAAAATCTATTATTTACCTTTTAATTTGTAACATCAACCAGTCAGATTACATTAAATGTACAAGCCTAAACAAATCTTTTATGCTATTTCGGTTTATCAATATCTAGAAATAAAACTTAACTATATCATAAGAACAAGGATAAAGTAAATTTTTTCCTCTTACCTAGATAGAATATTTAAGTTATTTCGTCTCAATTGTGTTCCAGATGAAAATAAACTACTAAAATTTCTGCAACTTGCTTCATTATGCGAGAAGAGCAACTGAGGACGAAGAGAGTTAAAGGTAAAACCTATAGTTCAAAAAAAAAAAAGCATAATTAGTAAATAACAATTCATTTTTTTAAAAATTAAAGTTGCAAGCAGTAGGCTAAAAAGTAAATAAGTCTTAAAATTAATTTAACACCAAATTTAATTTATCCATACACATTTGCAAAAATTTTAACAAATGTTTTATTGCTGTGTATGATTTAAAACAATCTGAATCTAAAATTATGGAAAATAAAAACACACAAGTGGTAACAGTTTAAACTATAGCTAAATAGAATTCTCTAGGTATTTAATAAAGAAACAAGTCTAAATTAATCATATATTTTCTATTTTATTTAAAAACAGAGCAATTAAAAATAATAAAGGCAGTTTCTAGTTTGTGAAGATGTTTAAAAACACAAAATTCATGCAAATTCAACACTAACAACAATCAAATAAATATGGTCAAAATCACGAGCCATGAAATGGATATTAATTTGTCTGGATAATCGATATCCCATAAGAATTTAAACCAAATATTTAACTGACTGTCAGCACGCTTTTTTATGTTAACTATTTTTTATAAACTATTTCATTTTTCATTTCATTTTCCAATTCTCAAATTGCTATTTTTTTACTTAATTTACAGCACTATTTTAATCGACAGTAATTAATTTTACCAATTTTTAAATTATTGTTACTTTATGTTGGCTTCTCAGCAAGTATAATATGGAATATTTCAAGTAAATTAATATTTCTTCAAAAAAAGAAACTTCTATATATATATATATATTCCTTCTCCTTTCATACTTCAACAATTTTAATTTTACAAAAATAATATTTTCTTCAGAAAAAAGTTTGGAAATATTTATAATTCGAAGTCTTGATATCAACTTTAATATTAATTAATAGCGAGCGTTTCTCGATTTTTTACTGTATCTACAATCATGTTTGTCTTCCCCTCTTCCTTAAATGACCTTCATATGTGACGTCAGGCTATCCTTTCTTTTCAATATTTTTATTTATTACCAAGAAATTATTTCTCAGTGTAAATCCTCATAAATTGAATTTTTAAATATATATATTCTAAAAAGATTTTCAAGTTGAATTTGATAATTTAAATGTTATTATTATTGGATCAAAATTGAAAAAAAAAATTTTTTTTTAAATTTTAAACTTGAATTTTTATTTTTAATTCTGAAATTAGTACTTAATTTTATTTCTTAGAGGTTGTGTTTGACATTTGAAACATATTTAACCAAAGGGAAAAATTAAAAGAATAAATAAATGGAAAAGATATAGAAATAAAAAAGATTTTAATTTTCACTTCCATTTTTCAATTTCTCCTACATTATGTAATTATAACTTTGCTTTAAATATTTTTCGTAATGTACATTATTTGATAATATAATGAATATAATGTACATTAGTTGATACAGTTTTACACTCATTTTATACCAAAGGTGAAGTGAAAATTTTATATTGCATCCTATAAAGCATAACTATTGCAGTATAGCAAAAACTATTAGCACGAAAATTATGATTTATTTGCAGTCACATACTCTAATATCTGATGATGGACAATGAATCTTACTATGTATTTTTTAGTAATTAAATTATAAAATAGCATTTTATAAAGAACAAATATTAATATACTCCAATATCTTCATTTGTTTGAAACTCTACTAGTAGACAATCCCATAGTGGGCTGAACAGGTTTAAAAATAAAAATAAAAAGTCTTAAGAGTTAAGAAGATTGGAAAGTGATAATGAACAGTAGGTGTATACCTTAATATAATTAAAATAAACTACATTAGGTTAAAAAAATGGGATATTAAACAGGACTAAGACAAAAAGAGAGAGATAACTAAAGCAGGAACAAAGCAAGGTTGGGTTTTTGCCGTCAAAAACTGGTTTTTGACATGACAGTGGTAAAAACCAAAAACCTACTGTTTTCTTTCATTTATGGCATATAGCGGACAATATATTATTTTCACTTAATTGCCTTTATAAATGAATGCTGTAAATGATTACTATTGATTTAGCAACTATATACATGTATTCTTATAGAAGGATATACATTCATATAGAAATATTGTTATATACTTATTGAAAAAAGTGATACTTTAATCATTATAGCTTGATTCGCAAAGGATTCAAAATTTTGCATTTCTTAATGGTTAGAAATAAACAAACAAACAAAAAAGCTTGGAACTATTAATAAATTCAAGAACTAAAAAGAAGAATTTAAAATTTGGCATTTCTTAAATATTAGAAATAAGCTAAACAAAACTTTCAAAACTTGTAACTACTAACAAACTCTAAGTCAAGAATGACTTGACATTCTTCAGTAATGTAATATGCCAAACAAAATGATGCTTGGAAATGTTGAAAATTTTGTTTAGTATCCTAATATTTTACTTCAAATACTAGTATGTTTTGATATAATCATGTTGGGAAAATGCAAGAATCTGTTCTTAAATATCTTTTAACAACTTTTTTTCTAATTTTATTGCCCAAAAATGAATTAATTTTAAATTATAAGCAGTTAAACTCAAATAAAAAAAACAGTTTTACCAAAATTATGGGTTTTTGACATGACAGTAAAAACCATGGTATAAACCGGTAAAAACCGTCATGTGTCAAAAACTTGCCAACACTGGAACAAAGCCCTCTAGTTTAATAAATATCATTTACACAAGTTCAATATTATTTCTCCATGGAGCACTTTAGGGTGAATGAACCAAGGTTGCAATATAAATTTCTAGAAAGGAACCCTAACCAACTACGTAAAGATAGAGTTATTGGCAGGGTTGTGGTCCTTGAAAAATTTTAGTAGTGATAGTAAATTTAGGTTAATGCAGGAATATATTTCCTATTATAATAGACCACTTTATCGTTAAGTGGTTAAGCGGGCTGAGATTTTCATTCATTAATACTTTCTTTAAAAAATAATTTTTAGTGGTGGTTACACAGAAATTAAAATATTGACATACGTTTTATTTTCATTACCACTTTTTAAAATCTTCAAGGCCAGCAAAAAACCTTGAATTGGAGATATTTTAATGCATTTTGGACATATTGAGAGCAGATTTCAAACGTTTTTAATTCTAGCACAACTAATTAACTTCACGCAACTTATTCATTTCCTAAATCTTTTTAAATAAATATAAATTTTCTCTCAAAATAATCAGAATTCAAAGGTAATTTTTAAATTATAGTTGTTAATGATGTAATCAAAAAATTTTTAAGCAACTTTATTCACAGGATTTAAATATGATTTCCATAATTAATTAAAAATAGCAAAACAAACAAAAACAATTTGATTAAAATAAATAAATAAAAACTTAAAAATAGAGTATCAAAACAGAAAAACTGAGACTGGGTATTTATTTTAATTAATATCTGGTGAATTTTCCATTATCAAATAGTTTTTCCAGATAGACAGTAAAAATCAAATTAAAAACTCATGGGCATTACAGAGATTAAACTTTGGGACGTGGACGAAATTAAAATACATAATCATAATAGCTCTCAAAATTTCACACAAAAGAAGAAAAAAAATTTATGTCTGCTAAATATTTTCAAAAACAAATTAATTATCTCATTCTTGTTTTTAACATAGATAAATTTAAATCAATGATTATTCATACTTTCTTTTTTTTTTATTCATCTGAAATAGTAAAAAAGAAATTTAGAGACTTATAACTATTGAAGGAGACAGATATTAATGATCCCCAACGCCGTCAATGTTGCCCATGAAAAAAACACATTCATGTTTTCCTCGGGTTTGAAAATAAAAACTTAGGTATTTTTTTTCAAAGTTGGGCAAAATTGCAAAGACCTTAATATGAATAAAACACATGAAGTTGTTATAAACTAGAGCTTAAAGATGGCGAGAACTGTCAACATTTCCTATATATATGTATATATGATACTAATTCTGCGTTTGGGTCAGTAAAAATGGAAATCTTACAAAAATAGTAATAGAAGCCCTGGTTGCTCAGGGTATAAAGCATTTGCCTTCCAATGAGGTGAACTGCGTTTGAATTCCAGGAATGGGTGGTCGATATGAATTCCATATCCGCTAGCACCGATCACAGTGCTGACATAAAATATCCTCGGTAATAGATGGATGATGGGTTGGAGTCCCCTTGCCGTCAGACTAACTGTAGGAGGTTTTCCTCTCCATGTAACGCAAATGCGGATTAGTTCCATCAAAAACTCCTGCACGAAGGAAAATTTCTCCCAATGCTCAAGCCAGGAGTTCCCATGTCTTCTGAATTGGGTTCAAAATTACAAGGATACGGAGTTGAACATTAGTAGTCATAAACCCAAAATTGGGTCGGCTGTTCAACGATGGATATAAAATAGTAATCGAGAATTTACAAGTCCATCATCATGAGGATGGTTTATAACATTGATCAAATTAAAATAATAAACACTCAAATTAACTTTACAAGATAACAAATCAAGACAAAGATATTCCTCCAGACAAAAAACCTAAACAGTCATTCTAAATAAGCATTTGACATGAACATGAAATTGTTATTATAACATCAAGATTCAAAAAGAACAAAAATTTTAACATACTCTTGATAAGAGGAGCAAAATTTGAATTTAGTAATCGCAACATTATTTTAAGTTAACTAATTTGAAATGTAAATAAAATATACTCATTTATAAACCATTAAATGAGTAACTTAAGTTTAATGACTTCTTAAATTTACTTTTAACGAGTTTACTTCAAAAAAATATAAACATTTTTTAACTTGTCTTCATTTCATTTCACTAAGGTATCGTTTCTTTTTATTAGACTGTTGTTGAATGCGTGCACAATAAAGCTCCAATTTTTATCAAATATAATTTTTCAAACAAAAATATACATTGCAAGCTTTTTGATTGCTTAAAAATAATTTATATAATATTTTATTATCATTCATATTTACAGAAGTTCTTCCAAATTGAAGATGAAACATTATAAAGCTGAAATTAGCAGAGCGAGTCAAGTGACTTTGCATCTCCACTTTTGATCTCTTTTATTAAATTTGGAGTTTTGGATTTGGTCAGAAAAATGAAACTACGGTGTTTTTGTTGATCATTGTTATAAATTACGTCTGTTGCTACTCTAAATGTTAACATAAAATAATTATAAGAGATTACTGAATTTCTGAACAAAAGTAAAATGGCTGGTATTAAAGGTAATCTGTAGTTACATTTTATTCGTATTAATATTGAAATTCTTTGCTTTGACTAATCCTGCATATTCAATTAATACTAATAAATGACCTTTTCATTATTAAAATTTCTATACATTTATTTATATGTATGTTATTAAACCCAGTAAGTTTATTTTGACCAATAGAATTGTTTTAATAAAAAATAGAGTTCTGTGATCACTTATTAACGCATTTAGTAATGATTTATAAGCATTTGACAATGTTGAAATCTTTCTCTTGTCATAATAACATTGCATCCTAGCATACAATATTAAAATTTTATAATAAATAAGCAAAAGTTTTTATTAAATAGTTGATCTTTAAAAGAAACTGCAATTATAATAAAAACTACAAATGTGTATTCTAATTCTTTAATTAAACTAAAAGTTCTTTGATTTTCAAAACCCTTGAATGTTTATAAACATTTGTTTGTTAACAATAGTTTAATACATTTGGAAGAAATATATTCATTTATTACAGCTAGAATAAAATTTCTAAGCCATTTTTATAATAGCTTACCATGTAGCAATACTTTATCACTTATAACAATACTTATGTACTTTGTTATAATAGTGAACCATTGTAAAAGTGTACTTTGAAGAGTTGCACATTTCTGAAGTTTTTAAACCATTCAGTTTAGCCTTTCATGACAGCAGGTCTTTTTGGTACATCTGCATTCACATTGCACTTAAGAAAACATTCATTACCTCACGTTTGTTAAGCTATAGTATTCGAAGCAATGTAATGAAAATTTTACTTAAATAACCATATTAAATATAGAAATTTTGTTTTTTATATATTTGATGTTATTATTTTACATACCCTGTTTTCTTGTCTAACTTTGTTCCAACATGAAAGATGTTCCACGACTGGCAAGTCTTGAGAATGGAATCCTATTTTTTAATGCTTTAAATATGTCTACTTATAGTCCTATCTTCAAATTTTCTTAAGCCAATGAAGTTTTTAATCAAGAATATCACAAATGTCTTTTTGCATCTTTAACATTTATGCAAAATTTATTATTTTTTAATTTATGTGAAATATAGTAAGTAAAATCTTATTTTAACTGTCATTTATTTTTTCATGTGCTTCCTGAAAACGTTATTGCTGATTGTTAACTTCTTATGTAGCGTGAGTATTATTTTTTTATAGTTATGCATTTTTTTTTAAATCTTTATTACAATTTATGTGTAACTTTGTTATAATTTTGATTAGACTATTTAATTAATTATTGTCTGTGGATAACAGTTAAAATGTGTTTATTACAGGTGTTCACACCTGTCTTCTGTTTTGTAAATCATTAAATTTATTCTTAAAAAAATGAAACAGGAATATTGCTTATGCCATATTAAAGCAAGCATTTTTTTAAAAGGGGGTCTGTCGAGGGCAAATTTACTACCGTTTAGCAGTGCCTTCACAAATTCAACTTAAGGAAAAACAGTAATATCAGTAATCACAAAATACTTTTAAAAAAGCAAGTTATAAGATTAAGATCCCCCTGCTTCTTAAAATTTTGTTGTTTTATCCCCTTAAAAACGATAAACTCCGGATTAATTATGCCCTTTCGATTTGCAATGGAACTTTTCCCAAGGATTGCTATTATGACGTAATAGTAGAATTCGCTTCCCACACGGTTTGTAAGAAAAGCACTTTTCCTTTCCATGCCTGGCTGAAAGCATGCCGGGATCCCAAAACGCCATGTGAGAAAAGAAACGTCAGTTACTCCATTCCTTAATTAAAGTGGAAAAAAAAGCGCTAGTAGCATGCAAACCCGGTTCTCATCGCAATCTATGGAGTAAAAAAAGGGAGCTTTTCGGAGTAAAATGAGCTCTTCTACAGATAGGTTGCATGTGTTTGGTCAGTTAGTGTAGTGTGGTAAGTCTAACCCGTCGCTTACGCCATATTAAAACAAGCTTTTTTTTTAAAAAAAAATTAAATGACAAGGCTGTCCCTCTGTAAAGTTAACAAAAAGTGGAAATTCGAACTATTATTTTAAACATTATTCTAAATTTATTCTAATAGACCTTTATTTTTTTCATGAAACATTTTTTTTTCTCTGGGAAACTTTTCTGTATGATCCAGTTGAAATGCTCTCATAATGTTCTCATTTTTGTGCTAGTACTGTTAAATGAATGTTTTTATTAAATTTAAGTTGAAATTAAACTACAGGCAATGATTTTTTTGGTTTTTTTCATTTGGATATAATTTTAAGCCCAAAATTTTACAATAGCAAGATTGTTTTGGAGCATATGGGGTAAATATGTAGAGAAATTTACCAGTCATAAATGGTTTTTATTTGTAGTGACAATTTTTAAAAATATTTTCTTATTTTACCATATTTTTACATTGAACTTTTAATATAACTTTTAATTTTCACAAATTATGCCTAAATTTTCACAAAATAGGTACCTCTTAAAAAAAAAAAAAGACCCTTGATGAAATATGCTGAAACAGCTTAAAATCTTTCTTCGTAATGTAAGGAAGCAAAATTTTTATTTTTTTTCCCCTTCATAAAACACTTTATTGTCAAATACTGAAAAAATTTTCAGTATTTATTATAATACTGCATTTTAATACTATTTCTATCTTTATTTTTATTTTTGTTAATTTATTTTATTTTAATCCATAATTTTTCTTGCATTAAATTTTAACTCATAATAAATTGTGATTAATTTAGATCTCATTCCAATTAAAAAACACTGGCAATATTTATAGATTTTTTATGATTAGAGAAGATTTTAAATTTCTCGTATCATGACTAAAAATATTTTATGTTATTTTAAAATTACTTAATAACCAGCTTACTTAATAACATTTTACTTGAAATAGTAAAGTTTTACTAAAATATTGCTGTATTATGAGGCATACAGGAGAACTTAATCTGGAAATTTCCAACATCTGAAAAATACACTTCAAAGAGAAAAGTCTAAAATATATCTGTAATATATTTTAAACTATTCAGTATTGCAAGCATTAGGACCTCTTAGGGTAACTATTTTGAAATTTCAATTTTAAATATAAAAGACATTATTGATAATTGTTGAAAGTAAAAAGTGAAAAAAAAATTGCCAAAAAAACACTTAAAATTACAAAAAATTTTGACAAATAGTAATTTTAGAAGAAAAAAGACATGTGTTAAGCTCACAAATAAACATGTCTTTTTTTTACGCGCATCAAATTTGAACTCTGTAGTTCCATCACTGTAGTCTGCTGAGTCGCCCATAAGGTATTTTTTACTGGAAGTTTGACAATTGATAATTCTCAAATGTTAAAGCTTTTTTATTCTATTTTGCTCCCTGAGCATTTTTTGTATACTTATTTATTTTCAAGTTCGTTAGTCCAAAAAAAAAAAAATTTAGTTATTTTTAGGATTTTTTAGTGCACAGAAAAAAAATAGGGTAATGTGCTTTATGCTGTACAATAAGTCCTATGTAATATTATATAAGAAAGAAATATTATTTTTAATTTTAACTGTTGTATATATTATTTTTGTAAGTAACTTAATATGTATAAGTTTATCATCTAAATATTGTCAAAATGCTTGGCAATTTCTAGCAGTATATGAGCAGGGATCTGTCTAGGTTTTTCTGAGAGGTGCCTATTTTGTGAAAATTTAGACATAATTTGTGAAAAATTAAAAATTATATTAAAAAATCAATGCAAAAATACTGTAAAAATATAGCTTTATCGTTTCTTAAGGAATACAAAAATAAAATTTTAAGAAAAGTATTTTGTGAAACTACCGTTTTCCCTAAATTTGAATTTGTGAAACTACCGTTTTTCCTAAAGTTGAATTTGTGAAGGAACCGCTAAACGGTAGTAAATCCGGCCTGGACAGACCACTGATGAGCATATTGCATAAATATAATAGCATATAATAGACTACTAGTTTTTAATGTCTAGTGAGCGAGTGATCAGGTTTGTGAGTGATCATGAGTAGGGATATGAAACCCTTAGTATATAAACACTATTCTTTCTTGCAAAAAGGAAACTTGCTTTAGTTTTAAAAAAAGCCACAATAGCTCTTAGTTAATTCAAAGAGAACACATGTCTATTTCAAGCATTATAATCTAAATCTATTGTCATGTAATTATTCCAAAAATTATATTAAACATTAGAATTTATAAAAAATTAAGTTTCATCTAACACTTTTTTGTCATAATTTTTCTCACATTAAAAAATATTCCATCTATGATTTTCATATTATGTACTCCATTACTTTTTCACTAATAAAATACTGATTGCAGTAATGTGTATATTTTCAATTAATGAAAATCATAGCTGGAAAATGTGTTTAGTATTTGGAATATGGTACTTATTGATGGATGTTTCAGTTTGGTTGCTTTGGCATTTTCTGGTTCTGTTGGGATGACATTACTTGTGCTAGGATGTGCTTTACCTCAGTACAAGTAAGTATTCTGTAAAATATTTATTGAAAATATAAAATATCTGTCTTTTGCTATTCTATATTCTAATTGAGTAGCTAGTTGTTCCAGCTTTTAATGTCTAATAAATTAATAATTAAGTATTTAATGTATTTTCTCTATTTTGACGTTAAGGAACAGTGTTGGGAAGGAACCTATTTTGTCGGTGAGGAACTTAGTCATTAACAAGGTAATCAGCATTCATTTAAATAATGCAAGATTGAATGCTGATTCCCTTGTTCAGGACATTAGATCCTCACCATCTCTCCATCAAAAGTGTTTTCATATCAGATTTTTCAAGGTTTTTATTGATTTTCATATTTCCAATGTTTATTGTAAATATATTGCACTATTAACAAGTTTCAATTAGCAAAATTACATAATTTATTTTGTAAAGAATAAAAGTTCTTATGAAATATAATTTTTTTCTTTGAACTTTTCAGGATGCAAATAAAAATTTAAACACAATAAAAACGAAATTTAATGCAGTTTATATATATTGTCAATCTATACACCTTTAACAAAATGGTAGTCTTTGAACATGAAGTGATTTTGCTAGAAACATGATAGAAAAATTGTGATTCCTAGATTTAAAAAATACGATCTTCTAAAACTTGTTTTATTTTAATATTGCAAATATATTTCTGACTCTTCAATTACATACAATTTAAAAGGGAATTATTTTACATGGCTTGGAAAACAACTGTTTTAAGATAAATTAAAATGGGGAATTTACTTATTCTATATTACAATATTTTGTAAATAAGGATTTACAATTTATTGTGTTAAAATAGTTTTTTTTTTTTTTTTACTGTATGTGATTGTATTGTATGTGTTTTTTATTGTATGTGATTTGCAGTTTTTTCATTGTTAATATTGATGCTTTTTTTTTCCTTTTTCAATAATTTTGTAATTGCATACATTATGTATTACTGTAAAACAATATTTACTTCCACGCTATAATTTCAAACATGTTGTTTAAAAATTTATTTTAATAATGATTCAACTATAATTATGTTTTTAATATTGAAAATCAAATTTCTCTAAGTATCTTTTGAAATTAAAAAATCGTGATTTAAATTTTAAAAAATCTTCATGAATTTTTTTTTTTTAAAAATCATAAACCTTGCCAAGAATGGAACAATCATTCTAAGGAGCAGTTGTACAGTTCTGGGTACCGTTTATTTCCTTTCCTATTCAGGTTCCAAACTTGAAGCATTGAATTGGTAATCCTGGTAATTAAGAGAGACCAGTAAATGTTCATTGACAACACATCTTTTTTTTTAATTTTGTAATGTTGTAAAATTAGCAGTTAATCATTATGTTTTCTTTACCTCAAATTTTCCAAACAAATGGGTTGAAAATAATGTATTTTTGGTTTTACATGACCATTTTAGTTATCATTAAACCTTACAGTTTTATAACAAAACCAATTTGTCTTCATCAAACTATTGCAAACAAAAGAATGATATTTACATGATTTCAGAAGTCTTATCCTTCATGAACTGTCTATTGCTCTGATATCAGGTGTAAGCAAAAAATCCAGAAACAGAAAATAAGTCTCTTATAAAAGTTGTTTCTTTTTTTAAACATTTAAATATGAATGCGATCTTTTGGTCAATTATATCTTTAATTTGTTTCTTATGATTAAACCTAATCTTTCTTTCCAATTATATGTATAACTTTTACTTATTCTGGCTTTAACTGAAATTTAGGACAAAATAAAATAATTTCTTAAAGTAACATGCCATATTTGTTCTTATTTCCAGGACTGATCTAATGACTACTAAAAATATTATGTGAATTGCCTACTCATTTAATAGGTTTCAAAGTAATCTCCACCTTTGTGCTCAGTGTACTTTGTGCTCCTAAAGTACTTTTGTGCTCAGTGGTGTATAAGTTTCAGAAACAACTCTTAGTTTGGTTCGGAATGTTCTTTAATTCTGATGTTGGGTTTCTCTTAATAACTGTGAAATCTTTACACATTTTCCTTCTAGCAAATTTTTTGGTTGTAGAAACAAATCATTAACCACACTCTACAGACAAATCTCTTGCCAATTTTTGTTTTCAAGCTAACAAATTTGATTATGTTACAAGGTTTAAGAATGTGAAATATATTTCTGAGATGTCAATCTTTCTCATAAAAGACTTAAATTGTTTCTGGAGCTTTCGAAGTGAATCCAAAAGTGGAAAGTCGGTTTTTCCATGGGTATATAATTCGCATAATACTATCAAAAGTTATTAGATTGGGGTGCCAAATAAATAGCCTCAGCTTATAGAAAAATCTTGATTTATATATTCTTGATTTAGCAAATTTTTTGGTTGTAGAAACAAGTCATTAACCATACTCTACAAACAAATCTCTTGCCAATTTTTGTTTTCAAATTAACAAATTTGATTATGTTAACAAGGTTTAAGAATGTGAAACGTATTTCTGAGATGTCAATCCTTCTCATAAAAGACTTAAAGTCGTTTCTGGAGCTTTGAAAGTTAAGATCGGCTTTCCCATGGGTATATAATTCACATAATACTATCAAGAGTTATTAGATTGGACCACCAAATAAATAGCCGCAACTTGTTTTAAGATCTTGATTTATATTTTCTGTTTAAAAGAAAAAAATCTTTGTGATGGAAAATGTGTGTTTAAATGTTTTCATTTCTCCCTGCAGTAACTGGTATCCATTTTTCGTTATTATTTTCTACCTTCTCTCGCCCATTCCAACATTGATATCTAGGAGATATCGAGATGATATGGGGACTAGCAATGCCTGTCATGAGCTTGCATTGTTTATAACTACAGGGATAATTATCTCAGCATTTGGCCTTCCTATAGTACTTGCAGAAGCTCCTTCTGGAGATCCTGTTGTAAGTATATTGTGCTCAATTATTGATTGATGTACTTTTTTTTTTGTTGTTACATTTTAGCAGTGGAATTAAAGTATTTAAATTTCTTTTTTTGTATAATATAAAGCAATGGCTGTAATTTAAAAAGTACTAAATGTAAGAAGTTTTTAGCGGTTTATTTATATATATCAGACTTAGCTAGTGCATTACAGTTTAATTTTACCATTTTATTTCACTCACCACTTTACTATTTTTTTTTTTTTCAAATTATTAATGTAAGTAATATTTTGAGTTTAAAATATTTACAATTGTTTTATATATTCCGTTATTGCTTACAAATATACAAAATGTTTATATAATTTTAAATTTGAACATAAAATTGTATGTAATATTTATTTAGTACAAATGATTCATTTGATTTTGTAAAGGAAAATTTTTAGATTTATTGATTAAATTATACTTTTTATTTATTATTATAATTAATAAAAATTTTGTAAAGCATAATTTTTTTTTCTTTTGCTATGACAAAAATGATGAGTAAAAATTATATAAGTATTATTTAATTTTATAAATAAAATGAATTATTGCTAATATTTTTAACATTGCTAAAGCATTAATAAATGATTAAAGGAAATGTTTAGAATGTAATTATGTCATAGGATTTATCCGTGTTGCTCTGCACTGTATTATTTTGTTTGCTTTTATATTATATTGCATATTGTTGGATTTTTTTTCAGCAATAAAATGACAGTGACAGAATTAAAAAGTATCAATTTAAATTATTGGGTGTATTAAGCTAAAAATTTAAATCTAGACTTTAAATATGAACATAAAACTTAATAGTTAACTTATTATTCAAATTTTAATTGTAAATGTTTTAATTTAATAATGGTGGCATAATGTAAAGAAAGCTATCTTTTTCCTTAGATATTATGGGGTGCCTGTGGATTGGTTTTTGCTGGAAATATTGCTAACTTCTTAAGTATTTTTGGATTTTTCCTTGGGTTTGATAAAGACGATGCTGTTATTTGATTGCATATAATTTCCAATGAGAGTTCTAGTAAGTTTAGACGAAAAAAAATTTAGGTGCACTCTAACAAATAAAATAAATGCAAACCAGTATTATAATTTTAATTTATTATTTTAATAACAAACAAAAATGGAGCTTTAAATTTTAATTACCTTTCAGTGAAGTGCAGTATGTAATCAATCAATGTTTTTTAAACTTAAAATGTTGGATTCTTCTATTATTATGAAAGTAATTATTTAAAACTATACCTTTCAAATATTCAAGTCTTTCTTACTCTTGTTAATTAATGAAACAAGGGGAAATTTTGAATTTTATGGTATCCATTTTTTTAAAAGAAGAATGCTATTGTGTCAAAAATCGTTTTCTTATTTCAGGTTACTTAGAAAAAGAGGGGAAATAACTTAATCAAGGAACTTTGTGCACTTGGTTGTTTGCTAGGATTTTGAATTGTGTAGAAATCCATTTTTCAAACGTGTACACTCAGTATACTTTCTGTGGTCGTTGAGACAAAAAAATTTCCAAAATCTCTTTTATTTTTTTTTTGTAATTGGATTCTTAAAATTACAATAAAATGTTATTGTAAATAAAAAGTAGTTATTTAATTAAGGTATAAAAAATGACGATGTTTTATAGTTGTAAAAAGACGAAATATTTTAATTTTTTTGTAACTTTCCGAATTATATTTTCGTAATTTTTTTTTATATACTGAGGAAATACAAAACTTAGCTATGCACTTAAAATGAGAACAACAAATTAAGCATTAAATTTTGTAAGTAAAATCACAACATTAGCAAGCAACGAATGTAATAAGTATTAAAAATGGAATATATAATTATGTCATTTTTTAATTTTTAACTTTATATTCGTTATGTTTTNGAGGAAATACAAAACTTAGCTATGCACTTAAAATGAGAACAACAAATTAAACATTAAATTTTGTAAGTAAAATCACAACATTAGCAAGCAATGAATGTAATAAGTATTAAAAATGGAATATATAATTATGTCATTTTTTAATTTTTAACTTTATATTCGTTATGTTTTGTTAATTTTTTATGTTAATTTGTGTTATGTGCTTCAAATTATTCTGATCAAAAAGCTATGAAATTAATTAATAAAATCATGAGCTGGTCATTAAATTTGAAAAATTAAAAAAGTAACACTTTTCTAACGACAAAAAAAGAGTATTTTATTTTCAAGTAAAAAAGTGCACTCATCAGGGCAGGATTCTGTGGACTAGTAAGTTACAAACTTAACAAAAGAAGATAATACTAGTTACAAAACAATGTAGTAGCAAAAATCGCTCCTAAGCTATTACACTCTGTTTTTTTTTTTCCAAACGGATTTTTAAATTCCAAAGTTTTTCTCAGAGATTTTTTTTAACCCAAAAATTTCGAATTGAGGATAATTACTGCTTAAAGCTCTTGATTCGCGACGATTTTATTGATTCTACGAGGGAGCAAATTTTATTTTGTTTTTTGTCGCATGAAATTTTTTGACAGATCTTAGATGCAGATCTAAGCTCCAGTTTTTTGTTTTTTAAATGACATTTTTTGTCAAAATATAAGAGTTTAGAAGCATTATGTATAACACGGGGCTCCATAAATATTCTGACAAATTTCTGGGAGACTTAGGAAGAGGCGATATCCGGATTAAAATTGCATATAAACCCATGCTCGGAAATGTTGTCATCTGTGCTAGGAGCTCTACCCTATTATGAAATGTTACTTCATGTGCTTCTGAAGAGGTCATAATATGAAAGCACCCCTAGCTTTTTATGACGACATTTCCAGGCATAGCTTCCTATCCTGGTGATGTGTACTTACTTCCCTGGAAGGTCATAACATCTCTGTCACCCTCCTGTTATATATAGCGTTTTTAAACTTGTACATTTCAACAAAAAATAGACTAAAAATTTCATTTTTATGAAAAAGGAATTCTGTAGCTTTAAGAACAAATCTCATTTCATATTTAAAATCTCCGCACCCGAATTTGGGAATATCAAGCCTTTGCGTAAATGCAACAAAAACAAATTACCCAGTGTTATCTACTTTGTTTTCCAATTGTTTCATCAACAGTTATTTTTCGTTTTTATGATTATCTTCGCGTGATTTATCAAATAACGATATTTATTAATTTGATTTTATTACAGTGCACTAGTTTCAAATTTGAGTAATCACTTTTTAATATGCATAATTTGGGATCATGCCGTCATAAACCTTTTCCCAATCGTTTTTTGGCAGTTATTACAGTTGGTTATGTGTTGTTTTTTATTTGGGGAAGGGGCTATTTCTACTTCATTTTTTAAAATCTCAGTATTAAGTATAATATTATTATTGACAAATTTAGAAGCAAGGATTTGAGTAATAAATTTGTGATGATTTTACGTAAATTCATGGGGATTTTTAAATCCCTTTTTCTGAAGGTGACATGTTTCTTGAAATCTCTATAATTTTGATACAGTATCATCACAATAAGCAAATTTTTCAAAGTGGGAAAATTTCTCACATTTTACGGCTGATTTGTTGAAGGTCCGAATTTGCCTTACTATTGTTATAATTAAAAGTATCTTGCAGAATTATATTAGTGCTAAGGAAGTTTGTAGCAGAAAGCTCGAGAAAATTCCGCCACAGGGTACATATTTTAATAATGAACCATAAGTGCATTGTTACCATACTGTAATAAATACCGTTAACAAACATTGATTATTCCTGTCTACACTCTTTAATGCTCCCACCTCATTATGTTAACCCTTTCATTATAACCACTGATACATAAGCTTCTATTTACTATACAATAGACTCACAGTTATTTTAACGCTTATTAGATTGACAAAGCTAAGCTGTCCATTCTGATATAATGACAAAAATTTAGTTTAATTTTTTTTTTCATTTCAGAGAAATATCACTTCCAAAATAAGTATCAAGAATTTCTGCTCTTTTCAAACCAAATTCCTCCATCAAAAATTAGTCATTTTCTAATAAAAGTTTTAAAGAAATTATTTAAACTACTGTTCTGATGTTACCCAGTGCTCTCCCTAAGAACTTTTAGATGGGCTCCTTGCCCCGCCTGCCCTTTGATCCCTATAAATGCTTCCTCTTGGCCCTTTTTGTAAAAATAAGCTGCCATCTCTTAAAAACACTGCCTTTTTATTTTATTTTTTTAGAAAAAGATTATATTCTTAACCACCTGTTTTAATGAAAGGTCCATTTCTGATTTATTTAGTTATTAATAATTATTTAACTCTTTAAAATTTTATTCTTTCATTTTCACGTAATTTTTCTTTATTCATTTTCACATAATATTCTTATTTTTTATTTGAGAGGGTATATTAATAAATTTTTTAGATCAACTTTTACCATTATTTAATTTTAAATATATGCCCTTTATTTAAAAATGCACCTTTAAATGTTTATTTTTTATATATCTACCTCACTCCCACGATGTTTAGATCAGGTACCCAGCTCAATTTGATAAGTGAAGTAAAGTTAATGTTTATTTTCTCACAATTTTTGGTCTGAAACATAAACAACTAGAAAACTTTTTTTTTTATCTGTTAATCCTTTTTTTTTAAATTTACTTCTTTTTAAGAAAATTTATGCACAAGGATTGTCTTTTAGCTTACCTTTAATTATTTTTCAAAAACTTTAAATTTTTCTGTTGTTTTGATAATGAGTAGTGTTGTTTTGATAATGAGTAATGATAATAGTGCCCTTTCAAAGCTCAAAGTGCTATTTTCAGTTTGGAAGCACTCTGCCCTTTTTTATTCCTAAGAAGAAGTCTGTATTACCTTACTTTAAAAAAGAAACATTTTGAATAAATAGAAGAGTGTCAAGACACGCATATTTTTATTCTATATGGCTTTTATTGATGAAACATAAATAACTTTACATTATTGAAAACCAAAAAAAATATTGTTGGAAAATTTGAGTTATGCTCAGCAAGCATTCATTCAGTTTGAAAGGATTCATCTAAAAAAAAAATTTTAATATTATTATTTTTTTTAAAGCGTACAATAAATTTTTGAATCATGATTTTATCATTTGAAGGTTTTATTCATTATTTTCATGAAATGTATGCCTCTTTAGATGGCTTATTTCCAAGTTCAAACATGTGATTTTTCACATTTTCCTTGAGTTTGTTTAGACTTTTCATTGAATGTATTTATTTGTTTAATTATTTACTTGTTACATATTTGCTTCTTGAATTTTTTAACTAAATTAGCAAATAATGACTGACAATTTTTGGGACTGTTATTATGCAGTAGTATCTCTCAGACTAGATCAATTCCAATAATTCAAATTGATACTTATTGATGAGATAAACAATAGGCACTTTTACAATCATGGAGAATTGCTGGATAAAGTTGCAGATATTGCAGAATGTTGAATAGATTCCCACAAAAAATTCTTTACTTCTGTGTTCTTTATTCATTTATAAATTATTTGTATCGCAATTTTCGAGCATAATTTTTTTTTTTTTTTTTAAATTGCTCAAAACCTGTTTGTATTATTTTTGTTTTCTAAAGTTAAATTTATTGTTTACTATGTATAGATGAACTTGATCCATACACATTTGAACTAGGTATTTTTATGTACCAATGCAAAAAAAGGGCATTTAATCAAATTTAACTTGATGAAGTTGACATAATGTATTGAAAACTTTTTATTTTCCTTTAGATATTATGGGGTGCTTGTGGATTGGTTCTTGCTGGAAATGTTGTAACCTTCCTAACTATTCTTGGATTTTTCGTGGCATTTGATAATGATGATGTTGATTACAGTATGTGGTGATGTATAGACACTGGGACATTGCAAAGGTGTCAGTTTTATAACAGAAGCTTTACTTAAAAAAATGTTGTAAAAAGTATTATAAGACTAGTGTTGATGCTTTTTGGTGTTATGTGACCTTTCGTTATGATGTCATGTAAATTAAACTTCCATTTCTTCTTGTTTGTATTATGTTTTTAAAACGAATGTTTGCATCGAATCGTATTGTAGAGTATCTGTCTATTTTAAATGTATTTAGTACTTGTTTGTAATATTTTTTTTTCCTTCCTCTTATTGTCATTAAAAAATGTTTAATTCTTTCATAACATCTGTGAAAGCATTTATCTTATAAATTATGATTTCTGAAGAATTTTTGTTTGCATATTATACAATAAATCCATAATCGTCTTTGTAATAAAATTTATTAATAAATAGTCTGATATAATACATTTATTTTATTATCATTTGTATAGCTTATTCATGATCATTATTTTCGTATCACCGTCAGCATGAAAAGATGCCAACTGCTCCCGATTCGTCAAAATATGTTTTAAAAAAACGGTAGAGAACTACAAACTGAAATTTGCAGATTTTCAGGTAATTTTGCCAATTAAAAAAAAGTAGCAAATTATTGAATATGTAAGTTAAAATGTTATATATTCATAAATAAATAATCTCATAATTTTATTTAGCCCTTCTTTTACAAGTTTTCGTTTTTATAAATTCGCTGGTTCATTCTTCCCCTCTGGATGGGAAAGTTCTTTTCTGATCATTATTCTTTAATGAATATTTCCTTTAGTTGCTAGCACAGCTTGTTGATTCAAGTTGTAATTAAGTTCTGGTTGTGGAAATAAGTGAGGTAAAAAAGCCTCCAAAGTTAAGAAGAATTTATGATGGGATTTTAACCAAATTTTGTAATCAGAGCAAAATACATCAAAGTACTGATTGACTTAAGATGATCATAAAATATTTTTCTGCCCATATCTATCTCAAATTCTTTGATATTTTTGCTGTAATGGTTTATTTAAGACCATTCTAAACGTCTTTTCTTTTTTTATTAGTTATTACAAAAAGATTTTGCTACTCTTCTAGGTTACTAGCAAGGTTCATCTGTATATATAAATATATGTAATGTTAAAAGACTTATATTCTAAATTTAATTCATGAATAGAACTTATTTCTACAACGCAATCAGTTAAAATCTTTTCCACAAAGAAAAGAATTATAATGAATTATTATTTATCTAAGTAAATGTGATGTCTTTAGTACCATGGGAAACCAAGATTGGTAGACACATTAGTAATTATTTAACTGATGAGTAAGTAATGATCAGTTCCAGTAAGCGATGACACATGTGATTGACTCAATCAGATGTGTCAGTTTCTCTCATCGGTTCCTCAATACGTTTTATGACGTCACAAACCTAATAGATCTTTCATTGCTGTATTTTGGGTTCATTGTAATTCCTTGAATTGAATAAATACAATTTCACCTTGAATTGAATAAATACAATTCATGGTTTTTAAGAATTTAACTTTTCTTATGATAAAGATCTGGTTATTATATTTAGTTATAAAGCTATGAGTATAATTTAAATATTTATTAAAAATAAATAACTCAATAAAACTTAAGTTTTATTCTCTACATATTCTCATTAATAAAGAATTTGGAACATTAAAAAAAAAAATTTCAACAAAACCATGTAACAAACATAAATTTATTCTACTTCAATAATTGTAAATAATTCTGCAACATTAATTTATTCTGCTTCCTTTCCTATAATGTAAATTATAGTGCAATATAACGCTAAGAAAAAAATAGTATTATTTTAATAAATTTAATGAGCATTCATATATAGATATTTGTCTATTTAAAATAGTATAAAAAGTATTTATTAGATGATAGATTAGATTGTTATACAACATTTCGTACAAATTGTAAGGTGAAAGAAAAATATCATAATAATTTAATCAGTGTTTAAATTGTTATTAAGAAGGAAGTTAGTCACAAAATTTTAAGATTTAAAATCGAAATCACCTTATATTAAATATTTTTAAAATTAAATGGTAATACTTATCCAATTAAGAAATACTCTAGGGCAGTGTTTCCCAAACTTATGACTTTAGTGTACCCTTTCTAAATTTTTCGTAACACTGTGTACCACTATTACAAAAATGAATGTTTTTTTTACTGTAAAAAATTGCACTAAAGTTAAAAATCACTCATGGCTGTTGACACCACTAATTATTAGCTGTTAACTCTGCAAAAAATAACCAATAGAAGAACACGTAATCGTAAATTTTCATGGCTAGCTTTTTTTTTAAATAAAATTTTTTGAACTTTTCGTTTGTTGCAAGATATTTCGCATAAGAACGCGTACCCCCGCTAAACTGTTCCCGTACCCCTGGGGATAAGCGTACTACACTGGGTAACACTGCTCTAGGGGATTTCATTCATCCCTCGATGTGGCACATTAATTATTCATAATATATTATAATTAAAAAGCAACTAAAAATTAACAAAAGTGTCAAAAATCTTTAAATTAACTAAAATTTCATATTTTTTTAATAAACTAATTTTATATTTAAACAAAGACTGTATGGAAGAATTTATATCATGATCTTTCGCAGTTTTCTTTCCGTATGAATATTTTCTTGGAGAGCCAAGTTTAAAATTTTCATTCTAATTATTAGAAGTGTTAGACGATCGTTGAAAAGAAGCATTTCATCTAATATAAAGTGTTAAATATAAGAGTATAAAAATTGGAATATTGAACAATGAAGAATAATTGAGAGAGCTGCCAACTGCATAGCTATTAGTTCCGGGGTTTGACGAGCGATAGCGAGTTGGCGTATATGTTGCTGATAAACTGAAAATGACAAATAAGTCTTACTTTGCTTAAATTTGGAACGATTATATTGAATAGCTGCTGAATATCCAGATTAACGAGAAAGAATTCCTTTTTATATCTAAAGTATTAATCAAATGTATACTTAAATTTTTTTTCTTGATTTAATAAAGTTAATTTATAATGATTTTGACCACCATTGCATATCAATAATTCCCGACAACACTTTTCTTGAAGCAATATAAGCAGGGTTATTATTATTTTTAAAGCGTACAATAAATTTTTGAANCCTCAAAAATTAGTAAAAAGTCTAATGGAAGGTGGGATAACTTTGTGTTGGTTTAAGTACTAAATAAAAAATCGTTACAGCTTACAATAAAAAAATAATTCAGCTAATCAGTGACTTTTAGCAAAAATCACTGATTTCAATTGTTTGTGGTCACCAAACTATTTTTCTATTGGTATAACATTGTTTTGTTGTTTTATATTTTGCTTTCATTTATAGATACATAAACTTCATCCTAGAAAAATAATCTTCAATTGTCTGCTTTCAAAATTTCATAGAATGTTTATCTTGAATCATGCAGTTCAATTGATTCTTTACTATTGGTAGGACTAATTACTCAAAATGTTGTGCAAACTACAGTAATTTAATTTCAAAACATTTTGTAAGGGGCCCCGGAGAATTTGCTGGACCTTGAGCCTGAATTTGTCTTGATCGGTCCCTGAATATAAGGATAAGATCGAGTGACTTTTGAAATTGAGAATTGTCCAATCGGTCAAGGGTTTTATACATCACCTCGGCGGGGAATGAGAAAGACATTACACATTTAGTATAGTTTTCTAGGAAATGTTAAAGCTCTCTTGAAATAGAGACTTTTTTTACGTCATACTTTCCACAAAAACATAGAATATTTTGTTTTCAAACTATATAATTATTGTAGCCTTATGTACGAGCATTTTCTTTACATGTTACTCGTAACGAAATATTTGATGATTACCCGAATTTAAAAAATTATTGCGTGACTCAATAAGAAATAAATGGAAGGTAATTGTACCCTTTAACGAGATTTATACCACTTCAAACAGGGAACGGTATTATAACTCATTAATAAGTTTTTTATTTTTTAAAATTGCATTATAAATGTTAAGATATAATATTTTAAATCTGACAACGCGTAATCTCTATCCCTCGTGTTTTTTCCTAAAATTTTAACAATTTTAGTAATTCTCGAATTAATAATCGAGTGTTCCTTTTTTTTATTCCATTGTACTCCCAATACATTTTCTACACGCCTGTGCAATTTCAAGTTTCTGAGCAGTTTTGGAGCAATAATATCCAGTTAACTCGTTACCCGTTCAACAATGAACATAAAGAATATTTATTAAAAATTGCAATGTTATAGAAATTAGTTCCACCAAAAAGTTCTCCGCGAAGGCAACTTTCTCCTAATAATTGTACCCCTTGTCTTCTGGATTGAGTTCACAATTACGAGGCTACGGAGTTGAGCATTGGTAGTCGTAAACTCAAAATTGGGTCGACTGTCCAACGACAGTTGTAAAATTATAACAAGGGATATATATATCATTTCAATGTAGGGACCGCGGACCGATCCCTGTAATGAATGTTTCGTCAAGGTCTACTGTGAAATGTAAGCTTTTCAAACGAAGATAGAAATAAACAGGGCTATTACCATTTCGGTTGGAATGACTCTATCTTGACGTCATAATTCCGTGAATGTCAGTTTGGCGGAATTTGTTCTCCCGGAATTATATTCCAGTTCTAAATGATTACGAATTTTATTCCAGTAGGTTAAGGATGAAACGAAATCTCTATTATTCCGTAGTAGAATGGCATAACTTGTAGTAGAAGAAGTTATTATTATTTTTTTAAACTAATATATTATTTTTATTTTCCTAATATTCCAGTTTTCTAATATACCAGAATATTTTGTTTCCGACAGAATCAAAATCGATGAAACAAGTTGGGTGGTTGTTCAGTGTTACGGACGGAACTTTTCCACTTTGTGACCCCATTAAGATCAAGTAGAACACAAAGACTATTTTCCTTTAGAGAAGGGTAAACGATGTGAAAAGGGAGTGAGGAGGGTACACTTTTTGTTTTTTGAAAACTTTTCGTTTATGGCAAATTTTATGCAGATAATTACATATAAATATAAAAAATAAATATGAGTATATTCCTTAAACTTAAAATATACGAACAATTTTCTAAAAACAAAAAATGCGCCTCCCCTTACGCTGCGCATATGTAATAAATTACCACACCTCCAAGAAACTAATTCCACAAAATTATAAATTTAGATAGACACAACCATGTAACACAACCATGTTTCAGTCACTTAATATTTTTCCTAAATAATAAATATAAATTTTTTAAATAAATGTGTATATCAAATTAGTTTTCCTAAATAAAAAAAAAAACTAATTTTCTGCTTATATATTTATGTATTGACAAAATTTCTAAAATTTTTTGATCCAAAAAATTAATAAAAAAATGTATTTGAAAGTACTAAAACAAGTTAATAAATAAATGCTAGAATAATTCGTTTCTTTTTCTTATAAATTATAAGTTTCAATTAA